ATCATCTGCACTTTTTTGTCCCAGATGTAGTAACAAGTGTCATAATTCTGATAGCTGTTAAAATATTGCAATGAGTTGCTGTGTGCAGTATTTCTGATGAAATGGTAGAAAGGATGAGGTTTACTGAAATTATATAAACATGTAAAATGTTTTCTCCACACAGTTTCCCATTTCTGTTTGCACAGATGTGAGAATGTCACCATGAAACCTCTTCCAAGAAAGAGAAATTAAATAAAAAAAGGTTTGAATAAGGCACATAGTAAGAATGATCCATGGGTGCCTCTACACACCATCTCTTACCTCTTTTTGTTCCTTTTTTAGTCAGAAAATACATTCAGTAGCATTGAAAAATACAACCCCCAAATTTTTGTGAAAGATAAAGGCCCTTGTAGAATTAAAATGAAATAAAACACAATAGTAAAATAAAATCAAACAAAAAGTAAAATAAAATAAAATAAAATAAAACAATAAAAGGTTTGAAGCTGCAAAGAAATGAGCTTGAATTTAAGAGACAAAAGATATTAGAGAATAAATTGTCATAATCAAAGTTGAAAAGAATTTTCCATTGTCTCCTGTGCCACTCTGTGGGAATTTTCCCAGCACAGCCAGCTGTAGGGGAGGAGGGGCATTGTGAGGCTCTGTGCTCTCATTCTCTCTCTCCCTCTCTTTCTCTGTCAATAAATGTCTCAAATCATATTCTTGAGCTCCAGTGTGATTTCAAGGTTCATCTCTTCCATGCAGCTCAAACACTAATTATCCCAGCTGTAATTAGTAAGATAATTAAATACTGGCTCACTCATCACTCTACCTTGTGTCGGGTCATGATTCTCCCAGAAGACCTTGAGCAGTTGCTCAAAGCTGATGTTTTGTGGCTGATACACCACTCGAACAGCCTCTGTGTGACCAGTTCTACCTTCAAAGACAAAAGAAAATCAGCTGTTATTAGTGGGAATTAGCCAGTGCACAGCCAGGTTTTTCTGCCTGAGATTCCAAGCACAATCCTTTGGTTCCCTTTTCTATTTTCCTCAAAGTATTTGGATTTATCACCACTTATATTTAAGCTTTTTTACACAATATTTTAGACACATGTCAAGTCTCATGTCTGCTCATTTGGACAAGGCCATCCAGAAATAAACTAGCAAAGAGGCAGTAAGGTAAGACAGTGATGTTATTACAGCAGTTTGGCAGCTTAAAGGAGAAAAAAATCAATAGTTCTAACACAGTTGTAATTGACAACTAGTAAAATAATTTAACATTCTAAACACAGCATTAAAATGTGAAAACTTGTGTGTCTAAGTTGTCTTGACAGTATAAAACCGAGCTTTGATTCCATGGGGATATGGATAAAATAATTGATTATACAACACTTACGCTTTATGACAATTCTAATTATTATAAAACACAAATAATATTGATTATTAAAACAAATTTCAAGGGTGTGTTTACACAACATCACACAAATAATGTCAAACTATCTCACCTCATCCAAACCTTTGATGCCAAAGGGCTGAAAAGAGTCAAAGGGAGTCTGATTGAACTTTAACCTTTAGGAGAACAGAATAAGCAGGTTTGCAGCACATTAGAGTATAATATTCCTCTTTTTCAGTTGCACTATGGGTAGGATTTTTTCATTTCTTATGTGTCTATGACCTGCAATATTGTTGAAAGATCCAATTTGGAAAATGTGAAGGATTTGGCTCCATAATTTAGTTGTAACTAATAGATTGATGAATGTTTAGTCATCTGAGGGTGAATGTCCATTGCACTGAGTGCTACACAAGCATTCTAGTTCATATCTATTATATATTTTATCATTCAAAAAATTAGACATATGTGTTGTCATTATACATGAATGGAGAAAAATCCTATTCTTCAATTATACTCTAATAAGTATATACTAAAAGAAGTAAACTGAACATCAGATCTGCCTTCCGCTGGGGACGTAATAAGCTCCTTGATCACACTCTAGGGAGGTTTATACTTCATTTATACCACCATAAAGTCCAGATTTAGTCAAATGACTCCAATAGAATTGTTGAATTTCATGCACTGCACCAACCAGGTGATTCTGGCCCAGTGATGAGTCATGAATTAGTTGTCACCAAACAGGAAAAATAAGGAAGAATGAGGAGAAATAAGTCTATGAGTAACCCTGGAGGGCTTGGTAGAAACACCAACTCAGTGCCAAGAGAATTGTAAATTTTTTAAAAATAGAAATAAAAAATATGCTAAGATATATTAAAGAGACACGAGGGGGGGAAATGTGGCAGCATTTTATCAGTTAATGGGGCACCTGAAACAAAGCACACATAAATGAGTCCCAGAGGGCTGGCTAGATGTCAAAAGGGATTTAAAAGCCTGGGGTAAAATTTAGGCTGGAATGCAGAGGAGTACAAGAGGACACATTTCGGATATCTGTAATCTAGACTTTGATAAAATCAAATTGGTTCCTATCTCCTGTGCTTCACAGATAACAAAGATATGCTCACTGAGTGTAAAAGATAAGAATAGCCAAGTTTCACGTAAGCTGTAGCTAAAGTCATGTCATCCTGACCACCAGGCACTGGCCAGGCACAATTTCTTTTTCACATACACTGGTCCTATTCCAGTCCAGGAAAGCAGATCATTATCTGATGTCAGATTCTGATGGTAGGTTAGCAGGAAGGATCATACATTTAGGAGAATTAAAACACAAGTCCGAGATAACTGGCTTAATAATAAACTGAAATGGTCTTTCTGTATTATGACAAGAACTAAGGCCACCTTAGGACAGGGATGGAATATATTCCAGATTTCATGGCTTAATATGGACTATCAGTGAAAACAATGACTTTTGCCACAGCTGAAGCCCTGGCTGGGACTTGTTGAAGATGGAGATAAAGAAGGAGAGCAAACAGCCAGTGGTGTCACAAACCAACATCACACAAATAAAAAGTGACTAAGGAGTGGCTTCTGGCTTCAGTATATTTATTTTTATTTTCATTTTCATTTTTTGTAAGCCAATGTGAAACTTATGAAAGGTTCTTATCACTCAGGAGCAAATTGCTTGTCTAAGCTGAACAGCTTTAGATCACAAGAGAGTTTCTCAAAGAACTTCAAAACAACAGAGGCATTACCTTTCCTCTCAACTGATGCAGCAATTACATCTTGTCAACACTGTCTGCTCTGCCTAATCCAGAAGTTCAAAGAATCAGTGCTCTTTTTTCCTAAGAATAAGGAAATAATGGTGCTACTCTGGGAACTACAGCCTGACCTCAGGAAAAATATCCTCAGATGTGTGACTGACAGGCTGTTAGAGCATGTTTAAAATCAATATTCAACCTCAGAGGAACAGCAAGGAAGCAATGGTGCTGGTCCTACCAGATTCACCCTAATTTTCCTCAAAGCCTTTCCACAATTGTGGATTTTCTTTCAGAATAAGCTGTGGCTATTTCTACTAACAATCTTAGTCACTGGTAGCAAACACTCCTACTTCCCAACAATTTGAGTGGAAACTAAACCAGTCAACTGGGTACACATGAGCAAACAGACAGGCAAAAGGCTCCTTGTGGAGCCTCACCTCCCCAGGGTGGTGGTGGAGTCACCATCCCTGAAGGTGTTCAAGGAACAACTGGATATGGCACTTAGTGCCATGGTCTGGTTGACATGGTGTTGATCAGTCAAAGACTGGACTCAATGATCTTGGAGGTCTTTTCCAATCAACATGGCTCTGTGAATCTCCCAGAAGATGCACAGAGAGAAAACAGCATGAGGAGGCAGGAAGGAAAGAGAGCAATTTGACACAGGTACAGTGTATCCCACAAGAAGGAATCAGAAGTTACTACGAAGTTACCCTAAGGAGCAAGTGGAAACAACCATTCATAACTTGCTCTACTGGAAGGTGTCCCTGCCTATGGCACCTATGGAACTAGGTGAGCCTTGAGGACTCTTCCAACCCAAACCATTTTCTGATTCTCTGATTCTGTGGTTAGTGCTGAATATGACTCAACTGCAGCCAAAGTGGCAAAAGGGAATATATATTATCTTAGAATCATAGAATCATCAGGGTTGGAAGAGGCCTTTAAGATCATTAAGTCCAACTGTTAACCTAAACACTAACTAACTGTAACTCCTAAACACTAAACCATATCTTGTGTTGTGTTGACCTTATTTCACTTTTTGCATTAGGTTTAAATTTCACCATGAAAAAAGAATAATCCCATTTCGGTTCGGGTTTCCTACATACGGTACACTACAGCACCAGAAAACACATCAGGCATCAAACCAACTGACCACTCCCCTCACTGTAAAAAAACAACTATTGAGATGTTTCTAATCAAACCTTTTTCTGCAAGAGTTCTTAAAAGGGAGAGGCAGGAATCAGAGGAACAGCAACCCCCCTTGTTCTGCAAAAAGCTGCATGTCTTTAACATGAAATTTAACAGGCTGCCACTGAGACAGTTTAACAATGTGAGTGATGGATTCTTTTCTCTCAACAACATTCAGCTCTTCACCTTAGTGCCTCCTTCAGAAGTTCTCACGAAATGTCCATTTAGATTAAGTCAGAGAGCTGTGGAGACCTCAGATCACCTACTGTTTTTAATTAGCTCATCTTTAATATTCCACAGCCAAAGTTTTATTACCAAGTATGAACATTTCTAGAAGTCTTCTCCCCCAAAACCCTCAAGTTTGAATCATGTTTTTAAAATAATTGATTGAATCATTAAATATATCTTCATTTGCTGCTAACTGTGCAAACAGAAATCCTTTCTTTATAGGAGCCATTATGGGATTGCTAGTTCTGGTGCTTCAGCTGTAGAAGGGGTTTAGCCATGGAAGAACCTCTCTGCAGATGGTAAGACTTTATTACACCGTGGCAGAGAGGGCTGAGTGCCAACAGCAGATTGTCTGTTTATCCTGTATCCATTTCCCACTTAGAAAACATCAGTGCTCTCAGAGGATTAGCTCCAGCGCAGCCGTTCAGTCAGGATTCAAACCCTGGCAAAAACCTGCCCATAAAGAGCAACAGAAAAAGACATCTGAGTGACACCTCAGTGCTCCCTTTCAACTCCTTTTCTTACTAATGGTATTTAGATTTTCACCTTCTTAAGCGTGTCCCAGGTGAGTGCCCAAGCTGAGGGATTAGAGAAGTGAGCTCATTCTTTGCAACTGGCTGTACCCAGTAAGAGTTTAATTATTTCCTGTAAAGTGGAACAACTTCAAAGGGCTGACTGGAGACTCCTCACCTGTGAGCACAGTCACCCAGCTGTGACAGTACTGTCATGTTGCATGTGGCTTCAGCTCCACGAAGTCCAGCCCTGGGTGGATTAACTTATTCAATTCAAGCAATGCCAAAATTATTCCTTCCTTCCTCACTTCTTCAATAAGAAAAGACTTGTCTCTCTTTACTCACTGAAATAAAGGTGCTGAATCCAGTAAATCACAGAATCCCAGAATGGTTTCAGTTAGAAGGGACCTTAAAGCTCATCTTGTTCCACCCCCTGCCATGGGCAGGGACACCTTCACTAGACCAAGTAGCTCCAAGCACCTGTTTCTCCAAACCAGCTTGGGAATTTTTATTAGATGGTGGAATCACTATCCCTGGAGGTGTTTCACAAGAGAGTGGACTTGGCACCTAGTGCTTAGTGTTAGGTCATAGGTTGGACTAGATGAGCTCAGAGGTCTTTACCCATCTGGTTGATTCTGTGATTATGTTGTAGTTATCTTAATAAAATTTCTAGCTTCTTCCAACCCATTAAACAAACAAAGGGTCCAACACTAAAAAACATGCTTGGGATCAACTTCACTTTCACCTTTTAATCTTCAAATTAATGAGGATGAAAAGACTTAACCTAATCACAAATCAACAGATGTTTAAGAAGGACCCATCACAATAATTTTATTTGACTTACTGCCTAACACAGATGAGAGAAT